TGCCTGTACAGACACTGGGAGTGGGATCTTTTTTTTTCCTGTTTTATTTCCTGGTTGTATTTATATAAAGATAAAGCGTCTGCTCCATGAGGACTTTATTTTATTTGTTTGATGTGGTCTGGTTCAGAGGCTCCGCCCCCCAGGAGGCCGTCGGTTGAGGGTCTGCCTGATTGTTTTTGTGTTAACGGGTACGGCGTGTGCGTTTGTGTTCTGTGTCAGGACGAAACAGAAACACGAACGGATGTTTGTCTTTTTTTTCTGCTTTGAACCATTAAAGATTTTTCACTTTCATTCAGTTTTTGGTGTTAATCTGCTGAAAGACCTCGTCTCCCCTCATCATGAACGCACCGCCGCCATGCTCCGTCTGATACCACCCCTTTCATCTGTGTCCTGAAGAGGTCCGAACCAGAACCCAAACCAGACGGAACTGCTGGAAGCTGAAGTGAAACCACTTCACAGGATCTGAGTTCTGAAGGGAGATGAATCTGAAGCCCCACCCCCTCGTCTGCCTCCTCGTCTGCCTCCTCGTCTGCCCCCTCGTCTGCCTCCTCGTCTGCCTCCTCGTCTGCCTCCACGTCTGCCCCCTCGTCTGCCGCTTTTCTGCCTCCTCGTCTGCCCCCTTCGTCTGCCTCCTCGTCTGCCTCCTCGTCTGCCCCCTCGTCTGCCTCCTCGTCTGCCCCTTCGTCTGTCCCCTCGTCTGCCTCCTTGTCTGCCTCCTCTTCTGCCCCTTTTATGCCTTCTCGTCTGCCTCCACGTGTGCCTCCTCGTCTGCCTCCTCGTCTGCCTCCTCGTCTGCCCCCTTCGTCTGCCTCCTCGTCTGCCTCCTCGTCTGCCTCCTTGTCTGCCCCCTCGTCTGCCTCCTCGTCTGCCCCCTCGTCTGCCGCCTCGTCTGCCCCCTCGTCTGCCGCCTCGTCTGCCCCCTCGTCTGCCTCCTCGTCCGCCTCCACGTCTGCCTCCTTGTCTGCCCCCTCGTCTGCCTCCTCGTCTGCCCCCTCGTCTGCCTCCTCTTCTGCCCCTTTTATGCCTTCTCGTCTGCCTCCACGTGTGCCTCCTCGTCTGCCCCCTCGTCCGCCTCCACGTCTGCCTCCTCGTCTGCCCCTTTTCTGCCTCCTCGTCTGCCCCCTCGTCTGCCCCTTTTCTGCCTCCTCGTCTGCCCCCTTCGTCTGCCTCCTCGTCTGCCTCCTCGTCTGTCCCCTCGTCTGCCTCCTCGTCTGCCTCCTCGTCTGTCCCCTCGTCTGCCTCCTCGTCTGCCTCCTCGTCTGT